CCCCAAAACCCCAAAACCCCAAAACCCCAAAACCCCAAAACCCCGTTAGAGCTTTGGACGATAGAACAAGTGAATTTCCAATATTTTATAAGGACTTCAACGATGGTGCATTTGTGAAACAGTTTTTGATCCTAATTTTTAATTATATCCACAGTGACAGGCCCACTTTGGGGATTAATTAATTCTTGAGGTCATTTTAAACCTCTCCTTAGTGTTCCTTTTATTCTTTAGCTTAGCAGTACAAATTGGTTGAGTAGTCTTCATTCTGAGATTTTGGAGGAGTGAATCAAACTCAGATGTGAAATTACCAGATGCCTTATTTGGTCATAGGTTGGACTGCCTTTCTCTTACGAGATTTCATTGGCACTTGAACGACTGCTTTTATGGTGAACGATCTTTTCTTTGGTTCTTCAGCCTTGATGTCAACTGGTTCGGTATCTTTGAAGCTGAAAAATTGATTTCAATTTTCTTTGTTTAGAAAATTTGAATTCTCAGAAGGCTTTAATGCAAGTTTGTGAGCTTTAAGAGGTTGTGGAAATAATTCATCATTCTGGTCACTTTTCCAATCCGAGTTTTGAGGGTTCTTCGAGCATTTCTGAGCAGATTTAAGCAAGCTATCTGCTATAGAGAAGTTGTCCTTACAACCACTGAGTTCTAATTGGCTTCTATCATCAGTTGCTTCAATTTCTTGAGGATTTCTAAAATTCGGTGTAAAATGTTCATTTGCGTCTGGAATATGTGAAATTTCTCAATTTGTGAATCAATTGAGAAAGCTCTTTTTGTGAGGTGAGTTTTCTTTGCTATTTTTCGTAACGATTCTATGGTGAAGGGGACGCTTACTCTCCAAAATCTTCCTCTATTTGTTCAACTTGGGATAAGTCTAGGAGTAGCTTGTGAAAGGGGCCTATAGTTATGGCTGGGTGAGCATCGGAGTTATAAGAAGTTACATTTGAAATTTTGAATCTTAAAATTGAAGAGAGGTTCTTTGCTCAGAAATGCTAACTTTAGAAAAGAAGTCGTAGTGGATTGAATGGTCGAAGTAAGTTTTGAGGATTCTTTTTGTTCAGGATATAGAAGATTGGTGAAAATGCTATGGAGCTTAATGAGGCTGTTTAACTTCCATAGGGATGCTTGTGTCGAGTGTGGAATAGGTCCAGAGGCTTATTAAAATCTTGTTTTTAATGCAATATTCTCAACAAAGATCTCTTTTGAATTTTTGATCTTCGTTAACTGAAGAAGAAAGTTGACCTCAGAAATGTTGATTATGTCAGAAAATCTGAAGATCTGCAAATAATTTTGCGAAGAATAGTCATTTTAGGGCGAAATGGCATTTCAAGGATAACAGAAACAACTCTTTGCTTACTTTGCCCTTCTGGGGATGCTTGAAGGTTCATTGCTTGTAAAAAATTTCAATTTTTAGGCTGATGAAAGGGGTTTTGGGGTTTTGGGGTTTTGGGG